TAAATAGGTAATATAGAAAAGTTACATGTGTAGCCAATTGTATGCTCTCCTGTAGTAGTTCATTGAACCACAATGCCGATAAGTAATTAATAAAAGTCAAAAGACCAAAGAGGTCACCTTAATACCAAAAAAAAAAATAATAATAATAAAATTTTTACATAAAAATTTAAAACCCTATTACTATACTAACCTAATCAAATTTAAAATATGTGCTAAACATGCCTAATGCATTATTTGAGACATAATCGGCCTAAGCACATTACGAACACATTTCTTCATATATGCTGCTGAATCTGATACAATTAATCGTGTATCGTTAAATGAGATATTTCAACCAACTAAAGTACGAACAATTAACTGCCCAATTGTTAAATTGTTAACTATATCTAAAAAATCTACAACTGCTAACTTAGTTACATTACAATAGTTGAACAAAATATTAACAACACTTCGTGCCCTACTATTGGTAGTTTCATCAACAATTACCGAAATTTTTTTACCACTAAACATTTGTTTAATTTTAATTAGATAGGTTTTAAAAACCCCAAGAAGGTACTCATGACACAAAGTATCAGCTGAAGGAATACTACTATCTTCACATAAATTCATCCTTAATCATGGTTTAAGCTTGTCTACCTTTTCTAAGAAAATGTCAGCTTGGACAAACACATAGATTAAATCATTAATAGCAGCCTTCCTTGATTCATTTGCTTCAACCACAGAGTTTAAGGTGGGTTGTCTGGTTTTACTTGAAGAATGTGCCTTTTGTTTTAAATTTTTATGCAAGTTTGTATTGATATGGGCTGTAATAGATATCTTGGCTTTCCAATTTACAGAGTGGCAACAGAATCAGCACATCAAAAGGCTAGCATCAATAACAAAATCATCTGGAAATTCCTGTGCATGAGAATATACTGTAATTCACTTGGATGGCATATCTTAGATGTGAAAAACCTTCAACAATGTATTAAAAAAAAAAATATTCTTTTTTTTTTTTAAAAAAAAAAAAAAAAAAAAAAAAAAAACTGCACAAATCTAAATTGTAAGTTAATTGTGAAAAAGCCTTTTATAATACTGATCACCTGATTCACAAGTCTCTAACTAGCATTATTAAATTTTGGCTAGCACTATTCATAATTCTATCTACCAAGATTGTATAATATTATACTACAAAAAGATTTGTAAAAATATTGATTTACTCATGATTTGACCCCAAAATATCGATTTATATTAATCTATATAAATCAATAATTTTCTGTGTCCCTGCCATACCCCTTCAATTTAATAATTGTTATATATATACACATTATATTTATTTATATTTGTAAAATAAAAGCTATATACTAATAATAAGTCTGCACTTTTTGAAGTTGTACTTTTCAGATTTGATCTTGAATGTTTAAAAAAAAGATGGATTAATAATGATCAAGTTCAAGTTCAAAAAAATAAACCTTTTTATTAGCTTAAATCTGAATTACAAAGAAAAAGCAGACTTCAAATTTTGGCTTATAATATTCATAGTAAAATTGAGTCTGTACTTAATTTACATAATTTTTGTAATACAAAATTAGAGTATATGGAATTAAATATAAATCAATCACCTATTAAATTGCAGAATATAGATTTGAAAAAATCCAACTTACAGATCTTAGATTCAATAGTTTAGATATGTGATAAACTTCTAATTTCTCATGATGGATATCATCAGCTTGTGGCTGTTATGTCTAAAATAAAGCATAAATATAAAGTTAAAGGACATCAATAAGAAATAACCAAAATTGTAAATGATATAATTCCAGTTTATCCAATTCAAATAAATTCTGTAGAATTTAATAGGGCTTATTAATTACTTAGAGATATTCTAAATGTTTTAATTTCTAAATTAGCATATAACAATTTACTAATATTAAAAATAGAAGATGTTGTTCATATCAAATTAAGTGAAGATAGATGGCAGATTGGTAAATGTCATAATCATGTAATGTTTACTGCCTGCATATTAAATCAACATGAAGCAGTTTTAAGTCCATTAAACCAACATTGTATTTTGCTTTATAACAGTATAAAGCAATACAAATCACTTTAGCAAGCTTTTAATTTTTTAATTAAAGAACTTTTAAGTTTAAATATAGAAGGAATTATTGATTCAAACAACAATTATTAGCTGATTAAGTTTTGGTTTAGTGCTGATTGAAAGTTTATAATATTAGTACTTGGTATTAAAGGACCAACTACCACTTATTTTTGTTTATATTACGATTGTAAGAATACTGATCACTGGAATATAAACTTAAATTATAAAAATTCATATAATACTCTAGATTGCAAGAATTTAAATCTTTTATTATTTTTAAAGAATCAACATTATATTTTAAATGAGTTGCATATAATGCTTCACATTACTAATGTTTTATTTGAATGTCTTTTTTTAGAATTATCAATTAAGCCCATGTTTAATAAATGATCAAAAAACAGTACTAATTTAATGATTTGTAAAAAAATTGAATCAATAATTCATTCTCTCAGCATCAATATATTTAAATTTAAAGAACTGAAAAATTTAAAAGAAAGGTAGCACTAAACATCATTAATAGGACCTGATAAATTAGTTTTTTTAGAAAAATTTCTATTCACATTATTTGTTCCAGATCAAAGAGAAAAGAATATACAGATACTTTGGTATAAGTTTTATTTTTTATATTAAACAATGTGTAAAATTGATCTAACAAATGAAAATATTACAAGGATGGTGATTCTAGTATAGTGGTTGGGTTGTCATCCTCCAAGTGGCAGGTCTAAGGTTCAAATTCCACCTATAACAAAATTTGAAAATTATATCTGTGTTATGGTAACTGTCTCCTGTTGATCAGTTGGTCTTATGTGGCTGTTACCCAGGTATACCAGGCTAGGACCCTCCAGCTTTGGGAGCTCAAGGCATCTATGCGAAGTGTAATGTTACACATGCATAGAGGAATGTTAACCGGTATTGCATAAGACTTTGGTACAAATTCATGATAAGTTCACTAGGCATAAAAGACTAAGGAACCAAGGTGACAGAAACCCACTTGGAAATTCTTGAGTAAAGAGGTAGTATGAACTTTCGATGATACCTTTGGACTGGTTGAAGACCATGAAACACCTTCATAGGAACTGAGGATTAAAACTGAACAGCAAATATATGTAGAGGAGCACATAACCAACCAG